AACCATGGCATTTAGTGGTGTACGTGTTTGTTTAGTCATATAAAGTATACTGCTGCTGTAATATTTACATGCCCAGCAGTTGCTTTAAATACATAACTCCGCAGGACTCCCTATATCAAAAGGTTTCACTATTTAAGCATTTTCAAGTTAATATGTTTGAAATTTAAACTTTTCAGGTATGTGTAGAATTGTTTATAAGCGGCACCATTTATGGAAGTTCATGGTAGCTGCGCCAGAACCAGATTCCATTAGTGTAGTCGAGGTGAATAGTAACTAAACTATACACTTGTTGACGTTGTCTGTGACGATTCATACATGTTCACGTGTGGTTGTATTTTCTTTCGTCAGGTTCATCACTTGCAGGAGTTGCTCATGTCTGTGTCAGGGATGATGGGCAGTGCTTCAGACATGACATGCCACGTCCCCGCATGCAGTAAGGATGCTCTGCTGCCTCCGCCACCGAAGCAGCTGAAGCTGATGGTGTCATCCAATGATTCCGTTGTGCTTAGCTGGCTGCCAACGGCCCCTGACATGAGCAACCCAATTCAAGTGACAGGTGCAGTATAACACGAGCGCGACCATCTGTACTGGTGCTGCCAGATTTGGGCACATGTACGGAGTGCAACGAGTGCTGCACATTGTAGCAAGATATCACATTGAGCCAGGGTATTAGCCAGGGATGAGTATTGTGGGAGTGCAGAAAAAATATGTGGGAGTGCAATTTTTTTGTATGTGTGTCTTTAGATCAATATTTTAGGCCGTGCTACACATTTGTGGCGGTGCAGTTTCAAAACTGACCCTGCAAATCACGGCTGCACGGCTGGCTAATACGTTGCGTTGAGCCTGTGTGTGAGGATTGTTGACTGACGTTGGAAATACGTAATATTCCTGTTGCCTTTGCACACCCTGACTGACGGTGATACTGAGTAATCTTTTTTTACCATAGGCTACAGAATTTATGTTGATGGAACAGAAGAAGGAATGATAGCAGCAGACAAGAAAAAAGCTCCCATGCCAACGTTGGGCCAACTCTTTTTAACGCCATACAACGTCATTATTACGATCGACCTCATTATTACTGTCATAACTCATATAACCATGATAAACCCCACAAAAACTTGTTACTGGTAGCGGAAAACACATAAATCTATATGGCAATGATTTAAATATATCCAGGTTTGGATTCAACGTAATTATATTTTTATGGGCCGAGTCCGTATCGGCCAAGTCTGTTATGGTCCTATTCTGCTATAGGCCGAATTCTCCCGAGTCCATATTTTCTCCTGTATCAGTAATTAAAGCTCGGATAGCAGATAGATGTTTCGACCCTTCAAATCCCCCCCCCCCGACTTTTCGACACCTACCGTCATTGCAACGGTAACAGCAAACGTCTAGAGTAGCACTAAACGTACATCTCAAGACGTATTGAATTGCAGTTTTATGTGGTATAACAGCATTTATTCTTAGTACTTTTGAACTTGTGTAATAAGTAAAATTTTCTCTATCAGGTTAGTCTACATTTAGCTACATTTTTGCCAGATTCAGTGTTTGTAAGCTATAATTGCTTTAACTTATCATATTCAGGGTTTCTTCTGACGCTGTATATAACAAAGGAGGTAATGGCTATTTGGGGGAAAATGCGCGTTATGTATTCACAGGCGTGCCGTCGGTACGCATGCATTCGCTGCAGGTGGACGCAGGGGGAGAGAGGGAGAGGAGATTTTTAGGGAGATTTTTAGTAAATAAAAAAACTGATTGTGAAATAATATATATGTAAGAAAGAATCTGAAAATGTTATGTGTTGTTAATCTCAATGTTCCTAAAAGGAAATAAAAAAGTCAATTTGTAAAATATGTTTATGAGCTTTATTTCAGAATTTTGAATTCTGACGTTGATCCAACGTTCAAAATGTAACGTTGGACTAATGTCAAGACCTGCCGTTTCTCCAATGTAGAAAATCTGTCGTTGATACAACGTCGACAATCTGACGTTGATCCAAATTCCGAATCCAATCAAAAATAGGCATTTATCCAATGTTAAAAATCCATAGGAACTGATATAATATAATATATATACGCATATACACACATACAATTCGAACCCGGCCAGTTTCCCAGACAAATATACATTCAATTTAAAAACCTACATTTTTCTGCCTCTTATCAGTTAAACCATGCACTCATGTGCTACACATATACTATGTATACTATGCTATGGTGGTATAAAATATATATACAGAGATGCTTTATTTCCGGATTTTTCCTGAAATCCTGATTTTTTTTTAAATGTAAAAAGTTCAGGAAAAAATCTGAAAAAATGATTGAAAACTTTAAACTTTCAGTTTATTTTTCAGAAAATGGTGTTCTAGATGGGCTTTTTAATTTTTTTCAAAACACTAAACTCTGCTCGCTATACTTTAATTAGTCACTACTTTCAGGATTTTTGGGAATCGCCCTGTAACATCTCATGTATATATATATATATATATTATATATTATATATATACAAGAATACTGTACAGTCTGAGAAAAATAACCACCAATGGGATCCACATGACAATTATAGAACGGATCTAGGACAAAAAACTCTCCAAGCCCATTGGAGTGTACATCAAGGTGGAGCATCAGGATAAAGATGATGTATTAATTCCATCACCAACAGTAAAACGAATCAGTGAAAGTACCTCTCCATCCTCAACAGTTTCTCCCATTCTCTACCTCCTCTATTCTATAGGCCACCACTGTTACCATATTATCTAAACTCCGCCTCATCGCACCACTGTTTTCCCTACTCCTCCTCTACGCCCTCCGCCATCACTGCTTTGTAGGCGCGATTCATAGCAAACTGCAATATGCATGCACTCAACATTTGAGATCATTCACTGCTTGACATATATCATATATATATTATATATATTGTAGTATGTCTATAGAATATTAGCAGGACATGATAAACTTGATATGAGCTATAAAACCTATGCGCTGGCATAGACACATAACCATTCGAACCTCACCTCCACTATAAACATTACCCCTATATACCGATATATACTATAAATTCAAATTTTAAAAGCCTGACGTCTTCTCACTGCTTCGTATCAGTTAACATGACACTCATTGCTTACACACTATTATACTATGTTTATAGATGTATGTGTTATGTGTAGCACAATGAGTGCGATGATTAAACGGATATCAATTATATATATATGACTATACCTCTAGCATATATATATTAATATAAAATATATATATATATATATATATATTCACGTAGACATACCATTCAAACCCGTCAAAACATCACACCGAGCATACAATTATCTAATAACAATATCAAGAATCTAGTATTACACAGCCCAGCCATGGGGAACATGTCCACGACTCTTGTGGGTCATCTTCGAGAGAAGATATATTATATAACGGCTCCACCGGGATGCGTGTGTATTCTGTTCATAATCGATTCAAATTCATTCGATGCCGCTGAATCGAATGATTCCCACATGACCCATCATTCGCATGCCGGTGAGAAATCGAATTGATCGAGGCCCATCAGTCGATGCGTGAATCAATCAACCAAATTCAGAATGCGTGAATCGAATTCATTCGATGCCACCCACTCATTCGCATTCACGCAGTTCGAAATACATTCGATTCACGCATCGAATCATTCGAGTTTCACGGCATCGAATCATTCGCATTCACGCCATCGGAAATCATTCGATTCACGCATACGAATC